GGTAACAAGGGAAAGTGTTCAGTGCAGATCAGTGAGTAAGCACCAGCCCGCCCATGCTTACCTTGCTCCCGGAGACCCAGTCCCTCTCGGGAGGGTAACAAGGGAGCCGTCTGAGCACTAGTGACTGGGTTTTACCCCTTTCTCCTGCTCTTTCGGCCTGCTACTCTGTGCTATGCCTGTGCTTACCTTGCTCCCGGAGACCTGGTCCCTCTCGCAGGGTAACAAGGGAAACTGTTCAGTGCAGGTCAGTGAGTAAGCACCAGCCCGCCCATGCTTACCTTGCTCCCAGAGACCCGGTCCCTCTTGGGAGGGTAACAAGGGAGCCGTCTGAGCACTACTTACTGGGTTTTACCCCTTTCTCCTGCTCTTCCGGCCTGCTACTCTGTGCTATGCCCGTGCTTATCAGCAGAGTAGGAAGGTAAAAAACAGAGATGAAGGGAACAATGCAGAAGAGTCTTTTCCAAGCAAAGGAAACAGCATGTGCAAAGGCTGAATCAAGAGACCAGTAAAAAGTTGCTGCGGGTTGGAGAATATTACAAGAAAGTAGGGTGCATGATGGAGGTAGCTGGGAAAATTCATGTAAGGTCTAAAGACATTATGAAGTGATGGATGAGTTTAAGGGGAAAGAAAAACAGAATTAATTTGCATTTTTGAAAGATTTCTCTGGCTGTAAAACTGACCTGGTAACTGGTTGGGGAGAGATCAGATGTAAAGTATAATAGGAAGGGAGAGGTAGGGATGATGCCAGTCTTCTGACTCGAACAATTAGAATCTGGTTTCCCCATTCATTTATTAAGGATAAATGAATAAGTGAGTTTTGAGAGGAAGAACTTTGGTTTCAGTTTGAGACATGTTGCATTTAAGGTGTCTGTGAGACATATAAGTGGAGGTTCCTAGAAGGAAGTAGAATATAGACGTTTATATCAGGAGGGATCTGAGCTGAAGATATAATTTTGGAAGTTGTCAACATAAAACATGATGATTAAAGCCATGAGTGTCACTAAATGCACCCAAGCATGGAACTTAAAGACAGAAGAGGGGAGAGGATTTGACAGTTCCTGGAATTCAGTTCAATTCAATTCAATAAGCGCTCACTGAGCACCTATTAGGTACCAGACACTGTCTTGGACACTGGGAATATATCACTAAAGAAAAAGATGAGGAAATCAGCCCTCATGGCACTTACTCAAGGCCAGGGAGGGAATGGGAGGAAAGAGACAATAAACAATAAATATAATAATTAATTTAGTTCATCGAATGGGAATAAGTGCTAGTGAATAAATACCAAAAAGAGGAGGGAAAGGGAGATTGATAAAGAGAGGAGGAAAAATGCTGGGTTACAGTTTATATAGTGATTAGGATGAGTTCATTGAGGTGACATTTGATAAAAGATTTGACTAAGGTGAGGGCAATGAGCAGAGCAACACTGCAGAAGGTGATCGGTGCCTGGTGTGTTTGAAAAACAGTGAAGAGGTCAGCATGATGAAAGCTGGGTGAGTAAGGTGAGAGAAGTAGGAAATGAGGAGAGAGAAGTAACAGGAATCCAGTTCAAAACCCAAACCCATTAACATCTAATTGATTCAGACTCATAGCAATCCTATAGTATAGAGTATAACTGCCTCATAGTGTTTCCAAAGCAGTAAATCTTTTTTTTTTTTTTCTTTTTAATTATCATTATTATAGAAGCTCTGGGAGCTCTGATAACGTAGTGCCCAAGGCACTTGACTACTAACCAGAAGGCTGGCTGTTCAAATCCACCAGCCACTCCTCGGAAGGAAGATGGGGTAATCTACTTCCGTAGTGATACTGCCTCAGAAACCCAAGGAAGGGTCGCTATGAGTCAGGTCTGACTCCATGGCACTTAACAACAGCAACAACATAGAAGCTCTGGTAGCGTAATGCCTAAGGCACTTGACTGCTAACCAGAAAGCTGGCAGTTCAAACCACCAGCCACTCCTTGGCAGGAAGGTTGGGCAATCTACTTCTGTGGTGATATTGCCTCAGAAACCTAAGGAGGGATCACTATGAGTCAGGTCTGACTCAATGGCACATAACAACAACCACACCATTATTATTATTATTATTATTATTATTATTAGTGCTCTGGTAGCATAGTGCCTAAGGCACTTCACTGCTAACCAGAAGGCTGGTGGTTCAAACCCACCAGCCACTTCGCAGAAGGAAGGTTGGACAAACTACTTCCATAGTGATACTGCCTTGGAAACCTAAGAAGGGATCACTGAGTCGGGTCTGACTTGACAGCACATAACAACAACAACATGTTCCCTAGTTAGTCATCCATTCTTCTGTCGATGGATACCTAGTTTCTTTCCATCTTTTTGCTATTGTAAATAGTGCTGCAAAGAACATGGGTGTGCATATCTCTGTTCTTGTCTTGGCTCTCACTTCTTTAGGATATATACCTAGTAATGGGATTGCTAGATCAAATGGTATTTCTAATTCCAACTTTTTAAGGAATCATCATACTGTTTTGAACAGTGGTTGTATCATATTACAGTCCCACCTGCAGTGTATGAGAGTCCAAATCTCTCCACAACTTCACCAGCATTTGTTATATTCTGTCTTGTTGAACTTTGCAATTAGTGCTGGGTCAACATGGTATCTCATTGTTGTTCTTATTTGCATCTCTCTAATGGTTCACTCATCTGTCAGCTTGTCAGACTGTGGTGGCTTGTGTGTTGCTGTGAGGCTGCAGGCTATGCCACCAGTATTTCAAATACCAGCAGGGTGACCCATGGTGGACAGATTTCAGTGGAGCTTCCAGACAAAAACAGACTCAGAAGAAGGAAGAGGCCAGCTGGTTCTCAAAAACTGGCCAGTGAAAACCTTAAGAATAGCAGTGA